GGGGGGGTGCTCATTACGGGTTATTGTGACCATACGTGTGGTCACGTGGGACTCAACGTGTTAAAGGTTGACTTGAGCTATGGTTTTCTTGAGATATATTTTTTTTATCAGATGCTTTCTACAGCTAGAGTTTCAACCCGGCAGACAATTTTACCTGAGCAGCTACTGGCAAAATGCTGGTATATATTTTTTAGGTAAATTAGGGATCGTCCAGGATATACATCCGCTTTTCTCAGATTTGTTCGGCAAATTACAGAAGCCCGGCGCCTGTGAAACTTGAGGCAGGCCACCCAGCAGTGCACACGTGCTCTGCAGGAAAGATATTGCCTACCTACTAGGCGCTGTGAGAGCTTGCAGTGGCAGAACTGGGCAATTTCGTAACGGCAAATGGCGGACGTACTCTCCGGATGATCCCTTAGCGGGAACTCAGAAATTAGACTTTTAAAGAGACAGCAGCTAACTTTTAAACCGCCCACTTTCCGAAGATGGACTCAAGTTTTTTTTAATATATTAGAAAGTCAATCTGACAAAGAAAATATACTCCATGAAAATTTATTGCCGCGTCTTTTAAAGTTAACAGCTCTTTTATGTATATTTTACCAACCGTTTGAGCAGATTTTTTTTTAAAAACGGCAAAAAGGAAAAAAAAATGATCAATATTAAAAATTGAGTGTCACGAGGCCTGCCGTGCAGCCATCGTCCCTGTCGCAGGTGGCGCGAGAAAACGTTCGGATGCTTTCAGCTGGCCTCTTATACGCACAAATAATGGCGACGTAGATCACACAATTAATTTTGTGTTAAAGAATGAACGAGGTCGTCCTTTATATTACGATATCGACCTTAAATTGTGCGTGGATCATCCAGAATGAGCGTCCGTCATTTGCAGTGACGGAACTGTCGGGCCGACGCCCTGCCTTGTATAACGCCTGGATGGTAGGCAACATCTTTTCTGCCGTGTATGCGTGTACCGCGGGGTGTGTCCGAGCCTCGCAGTCGCCGAGGTCTCGTAGGTTACCGAATGAATATGAGAAATACGGCCATAATACTTCCTAGACGACGGCTTAGAAGCACAAAAGTACTCTGTTCTCAGTAGCATGTGAAACTAATTTAGGTGTCAGCGTCACCTGACTTACACCTGCACGGCAAAAAGAATGTCTTGAAATAATCCGAGGAAATTTTTTGGATTTCAAGGTTGGGTGGATAATTTCAGGATTGGCCCTTGAAATCCCAGACTATGTCTTAAAACCCGCAGCTTCCAAGTTAAATCCTTGGAATTTTTGTCTGGTATTCAAGGGTTTGGCTTGAAGGATCCAGATTGTGCTCCAAGGAAAACCTTGAATACCAGACGAAAATTCCAAGGATTCCCCTTGGAAGCTGCGGGTTTCGAGACAGAGTCTGGGATTTCAAGGGCCAATCTTGAAATTATCCACCCGACCTTGAAATCCAAGAAATTGCCTCGGATTTCAAGACATTCTTTTTACCGTGTGCTACCTGCTACGCGCCTACGAAGCATTGCGTAGGCCAACCCGCCAAACAGCTGTGCTAAACCGGCGGACCACCAGCTTTATCGCCTCGTTGCTCGTTTAAAAGTGGTTCAAAAACCCACTCGTTCCCTCGCGTCACCTCGGGTGACGTTGTGCGTTGGCACGGTGGTTGACAACTCCGAGCGGTTCTGTTGTTGTCCAACCCCCTCTGCACTCCAACCCTGTACACCGGGGCGTCTGAGCTAGCCGTCGTCCGCCCAGCTGGGTGAGATTTTGGTTCAGATCTTAGAGAATTCAACTCAATTTCCATGTGACGCAGTGCAGTCTGTTTTGAATAGATTGGCAAGGAATAAAAACTATTCTTTTTTGATTTGCCCTCTGCACACCATGGCGAAATCTACTAATTCAACGCTATTTTTACTTCGAAAAATTCAAGGACAAATATCCTTAGCTTAAGGCGAATGTCGTTCCATAAAAGTAAAAAATTTCTTAGGTCAACTTAATTTATTTGAAATCAATGGAAATGCCTTAAGCGAAGGTGGAAAATGTTGTATTTTTGAAAAGGAAATTTCCTTTGCTTAAGGATACTATTTTCTGTGTGCAGCATTACGAAAAGTGCACTGCTACATTCAGTGTGCAACTGGTGAAAGGGAGCATACATTTGACTGAATTATATTTCAAAGATTTCCCCCTTGACATTTTCTGACGAGCAATGTCAGGTCGAGAGATATTGAGAGAGAGAGAGAGAGAGAGAGAGAGAGAGAGAGAGAGAGAGAGAGAGAGAGAAAGAGAGAGAGAATATGGGAATGGTGTACGCAAAAATTGTCCAGGCAGGCCAGGTTCATGCCTAAACTACACTACGCATAAATAGTCGATTGGTCGATTGCGTCAGTGCGTCAGCGAGGAGAAAGAAGAAAGGAGAGAGAAGGATAAAAGGTGTTGGTTTAATGAGAGGGAGAGAGGGGGTCTATCTCCGTAATTCAGTAGATCCGCTGGCCGTGAGAAACCGCTCCGTGTCAGGGGCAAGCGCATTTGGGTTGGAGGTTGCTGAAGGGAAAATTACTTGTAGGTGTAAGGCTGATTGTCGAGCATTCGGGACATTTTAATATCAGGACCAAGAAACTTAACCTTGTTTTAGATATTTTAAGGTGTTCATGCATCTTTTAACGATAGATTTTTAGGAGTTATGAATAGGATAACTAAAATTTGTGATTGATTTTGACTGATTTTGTTCTTACTTCAGCAATTAATCTTTTTGAGAAGATAAGCAAGTCACGCTGGCTATTGTTTTCTGATTTGCTTCCTACATCATCTACGAAAAGTGCATTGTAAACATACTGAGCAGCTTGGGTGCACATGCAAGTGCTGCACTGGTAAGCTAAGTGTTCAACTGCTCAACACTTCAAAGTGTGCAACTGCAAGTTTAATACGTGCAAGTGTGCAACTCGGTAGGTGTGCACTTGCAAGTGAGCAACTCCTCGGTTGACCACTCCCTACACAGTAAGCTTCCAATCTAAGGAAGTGCTCAACTGAGGAGTTGCACACTTGCAAGTGCACACCTACCCAGTTTAACACTTGCAAGTGTACGACTACGGAGTTGCACACTTGCAAGTGCACACCTACCCAGTTTAACACTTGCAAGTGTACGACTACGGAGTTGCACACTTGCAAGTATTCACCTTGCAGTTGCACACTTACAAGTGTTGAGCAGTTGAACACTTAGCTTATCAGTGTGACATTACCGAGCAATTGCACACTTCAACACGTCGGGATGGAAATTTGAATACTAAAAAGTGTTAAACAGTAGAGATAAACACTCAGAAGTATTGTTAAGCATGAGCGTAGACCAGGCCTTGAAGCTTTGGACACTATAAAGTGTTCCAATTTACTCTTGAACACTTTAAATTATAAAATTTTTAGGTCCAACACCTTAGAGTGTGCATGTGCACCGTAGAATTGAACACGACCATGTGCATGCCAGTTGTACACTTGTGTTTTCAGTGTAATTTGTATGTACCATCACAGCAGACGAGATGTGTTTAAAAAATTAGCGAAACTGACAAAAATTTGTCCCATACAAAGCGACAATTTTCTTTATGGATCACCATCTGTATGTAACCCCTCAACACATGCTGTGGGGAGAAAATTGGGTACCGAGTTGGGTGTACATTTTTGTCAGATTTGGATTTTTCAGCAAGCCCTTAGCCTGTTTCATTCTGCCTCCCCCCTCTCTATCTTCTCCGCTACGCCCTGCAGTTAAAAGCAACCGCGACGCACACCAGCAGTCAGTCGCACGGCATCAACATGGCGGGCGCTGTCCGGCTGGCCGCCGCCTGCCTCCTCGCCCTCCTGGTCGGCACTCGCACCAGCGCCCTCAAGCTGCGTAAGTTGCAAAGTGAAGAAGCGCACCCTTGAGAAAACAGTAGTTTACCCTTCTGTAGTTAATAGAGCTTTCGGATGAATAGAAAACAACACAGAAAGACGAAATCTGAAACAGATCATCTACTTACCTCAAGGACGCACATTATGTCTATAACCACAGAAAGACGGTTAAGAACTTGCCCGGGTCAATGAAATTGGCCTAAAATATTAATGTTTTGCAAAGGTGATAAAAAAATCTTTACTTTTTTGGTGAATTGAATAGTGCTATACTCAGTTTTAATCCCGTCATACGTCTATCTCTCTGCCACTAACCAATGCTGGTTTTGTGACCTCTGCACTCTAAATGGCAAAGGCATTGCACTGCAAGATGCGTCTGTGTGGACATCTTGCAAGATGCAAATTCTAAGTAGTAACAAATTTGTATCTCCTGCAGGTAAAATTTTTATTTTATTGAATTGAAGATAAAACTGGACAAATTTTGGAAAGTTGCACACAGTTTCCAATTTAGGCACAAAATTGCATCCTTTCTGGATTTGCACAAAAACATTGCTTTATTGGGTCTAAAATTGTCCCTCTATTTTTAGAGTGTACTATTTATAGTGTCTACTAGTAGTAGAGAAGGTTTTCTATTTTACTGTAAAGTAAAAGAAGTATGGAATTTTTACAGTCAACGTGCAATAGGTTCTATAAGAGAACTTCTCTTTTGTTCGAATTAATGAATTATATCTCAAATTAGAAATAGTTTTTTTTACGCCGTTGTTCTGCACTCCCCTCTGAAAAGTATAATCACAGTTTCCCCCCACCTGGTGACAGCAGTCACCTTTCATTACCTCGTTACAAACACGCGTGCAGGACACTCGCTGCAAAAAATTGGCTTTGTTCCTGTTAAAAATAAATTAACGACACTCAACTGAAGGTGTCTTCCCTCGCCTCCGTGCGTTTAGATTCCCAAACATTTCGGACTTGGTTCGCCACGCTACCGCGCGTGAGGCACGGAGGCCACAGGAGTTGCCTACCCGCCTACTCGCAGGCGGGTAATAGGAGGTCGAGCACCTAGCACACACGCGATTGTCATGGGGACGCAGACATTGTTGTGCTTTTATACCTCTGATACTCTTCCAGCGCCCTACATCACTGCCTGCAAGGGGGACGACCCGAAGCTCAACGAGTGCGCCGTCAAAGCCGGCAGGGCAGCCATCCCCCACTTCATTAACGGTACGCGGCGCCCACTCAAATGTGTGAATGTAGCACACTTGTAGGTGTGTGAATGAATATTTGTACAATTATAGGTGCGTGAATGCCCATCTGTACAGTTGTACGTGCGTGAATGCCCATTCGTACAATTGTAGGTGTAGGACCATTTGTACAGTTGTACGTGTGAGAAAGACTATTTGTTTGTACACTTCAGGGAGTTAAAGTGGGAATTTTCATTTGAAATGATACCTGAGCAGCGGCCCTGCTTAGCTGGAGCCGATAGGGCGCAGCACGCTCTGACTCCACTATGAAAAATAAACCAGCCAGGTGCGCCTATATGACAGACCATACACGTTTGATACCGACAGTAGCTCTAATCAAATCCCATTTCAAGAGATAACATGACTTCACTGATAAACCAAATGTTCAACTGCTCAACACTTCGAAGTGTGCAACCGCAAGTTCAATACTTGCAAGTGTCGAATTTAGTTGTAGTACACTTGCAAGTGTTCAACTCGGTATTTGTGCACTTGTAAGTGTGCAACTCCTCTGTTGAACACTTCCCTCACAGTAAGCACCCGATCTAGTGAAGTGTACAACAGGAGAGTTGAACACTTAAAAGTGCACAAATACCGAGTTGAACACTTGCAAGTGTACTACTACTGAATTGAACACTTGCAAGTATTGAACTTGTGGTTCCACACTTGCAAGTGTTGAGCAGTTGTACACTTAGTTTATCAGTGTTGTTATAATTGCAAAATCTAACATAAACCACTGTTTTGAGCGCACGATTTCTCATAGTGGATTCGGAGCGTCTGCACTCTATCGGCTGGAGCTGGAAGCAGCGCCGCTGCTCAGACCTAATTCGCACACTTGTGCCTCCATGAGTACGAATGTCGTGCACACACATACAAGTGTAGTAAGACATTCACACGATTAGGTTTCTAGTGTTGGTGCGTGTCGTAACACTATACTACTTCAAATATGCGCGCTAGTTCTGATCCCTTGCATCTGTTTTACCACTGTCTTATTATTGTTTTCCTTCTGCTCTCAAACCCTGTGGCGGTCAGTCTTGGCCCAACTCTTATATGGAGTGTTACGTGGAGCAGCTTAATAAACTACATTGGAGCACATGTGCCCCTTCATTTCGCCTTCTTCAACACAGAACTAGCGCGCATATTTGAAGTGTACACTGTTACGACAGTGTGTACTACATACTGATCTCGAAAGTCAAGATTATTCTGATGTTGAGGTCAAATCAAATTGACTTCATTAGTGGGCTTAATGAAAAGAATTGTGCTACTCACACCGGATAAACGGAAAAAATCTCAATCAAGAATCGATCTTCTAAGCTGATAATACCAATTTTTAAAGAAGACTATGTTCTTATTTTTTTTCATTAGCTGCTATTTGTTTGGTTGCTTGCAATCTTGCTATTCGGAGGGCCTAGTGGCGTAGAGAGGAGGACATGAACGGAGGCAGGGCAAGGCGACTGGCGGCGGCGGCGCCGGTGGCGGCCCAGTATTGTTGGGCAGGGAAGGGGCCCATCCCAAGCATTAGTGTTAGGCAGGGCAAGGAGGGGACCTGGTGCGACACTCAGCCAGCCAGCCGGTCACTCGGACATCGCTCCCCCAGTGCACAAAAAGGTGATTTCTGCTTTTGCTCTTAGTTCTGTCTCCTGCTTATCTAGAGTTGAAGTTAGCTGACGCCTTAAAGTTGCTTATGTATTCTCTATAGTCAGTGAAAGTATTTAAGGTATGATCTGCTATTAACCCAGAGTCACTAGAGGGCGGCGGAAAGAGGAAATATATTAAACGAAAATGAAAACTCTAACTAACCCCAGCCCCGCATCAATGCCAGTACTTTCTAGGTTCAACTCCCCGCCCCTCTGATATTAATCGGAATTTTCTACAAAACGCATGACTTGCCCACGTCTTGCACACGCAGGTGACCGCAAGTACAAGATCCCGGTGCTCAACCCTCTGACCGTGTACGACTTCAGGGTGTCGCAGGGCACCCGGTCTGTCGGACTACAAATTCACATGCAGGAAGCCAGCATCTTTGGACTGCCAGACATGCACTTCGATGCAGCCAGGTTGGGGACGTTTTTGACGATTTATGATATTCGATATTATGATTATGTCGGTGATATGACCCGTATCTGAGCCAAGATGTAGCATAATGTAAAGGAGGTAGTCTTTTTAATGTACGTTCAAATGAGGAGGGACAATTTTTGTACCTAAGTTATTAGATGTGTCTTTATGCACACCTTTACAAGTTGTACCTGGGCTAGGGAACAAAATGCATTGTTTTGGATGTCACAAAGAAAAAAAATTGTATTTGATTCAGAGGGGGACAAAGACACATCTAGCTAACCTACAAAAATTGTTCCTCAATATTTAGTGTGCACCAATGCGTTAGAAGAGTATATACAGGTATCAATTCTGTCCATGTACAAAAATTGTCCCTGCCTATTTAGTGTGTAGTCACAGGCGTTGGTCGTGAGCTCCAATGAGCGTGGCGAAAGCGTGAGTTCTTAAAAATATATAATTGTGCAATCGTATAAAGTGCGAATAATATAGCATGCGCGGTGACGTGTGGGCCGAGGGTTGACACTCTAAAAATAAAGTTGTTGCGATTTTCTTCCGATAGAACGGTCCTTAACCTGTTTGTCTGCTCTGTCAATTCAAATGTGGACATTGTATACTTTAAATAAAGTCTACATGGCATGTATGTTTTAAATAATGTGTACATACCCATGTACACATTTCACTGGTAATTGTGCCAACGAACGTATGTCCAAAAAAATCGAGTCGATTGAATTTCGGTCTATTTTCAGAATATATAGTTTTTGTGTCAAAATACCTTTCAATAAAAAAGCTGATTTTTTTGGACATACGTTCATTGACACGATTACCAGTGATTTATAAATGTGTACATGCCCGTGTACACATCCTTTAAAGTGTACATACAACCGTTAGTATACATGCCATGTACACTTTGAAAGATGTGCACATGGGTATGTACACATTATTTAAAGCATACATGTCATGTACACTTTATGTAAAGTGTACAATGTACACATTTGGATTGACAGAGTGGGTTGTGGCTGCATGCGTGTCATTAATTATTATGGGAGCAACAATGTTGTCAACATTCGCCGGCTTCACGGATATCATACATTAACTGTCGCCACCGGACGAGCCGAACATAAGAGCGCGCTAGCAGCAAGTTGTTATAATTGACATCGAGATTTTTTTTTCGGATGACTGTTCATTACACATTGGCTGTATTAGGTCTGCGAATCGACTTTAAGCCAAAATAGCTCTTTTTGTTGTATTTCAACAGCTGGGTCATCTTAAAAATGCCCATTTCCACCAACTATTTCTAACAGTGAACTGTGTTGGCTGTTTGGTAACGAGGCGTGAGACACCACCTGAAGAGTGGTGCCATCGTAAGGCACGATCACAAACTACAACAATCTATGTTATGTAGGGTTGACCTGAAGAAGCGACACATCGAGTGGGACTTCACGGCTGCCAACATCGAGATCCTCGGCGAATACAACATTACTGGACGCGTTCTACTGCTGCCGCTGGTGGGGCACGGGCCGGCCAACATCACCCTTAGTGAGTAGTAGACTGGAGCTGGTACACTCTACATGGGGAGGTACTAGAAACAAATCATTTATTTTGTCTGTATACGCGACATGAAATTCGCATCGAATTTAGATATGCACAAGGGCATATCTTATGGTGAGTACATGTGGAGTGTAAAGAATAATAATTGTATAATCTTTGGTGCTGTGGCTTTCAGGGGACTGCACCTTCAACTATACCTTCGACTACACTGTCGAGAGGCGTGCGGACGGCGTCGAGTACATGGCCCTGCACAACGATCGACTCACTTTCGACACCAAGAGGGTATTCATCAGGCTGGCCAACCTGTTCAACGGAGACAGGCTGCTTGGTCAGTATAACTGGGGCGGGAGGCGCTGCGCACTTCACGCTCGGGTGGCTCCTCTTCCTCGTACCTCCGGCATTGGTCTCGTGCCACCGCGGCGCACCGCCCCCAAGGACGCCACCTCTCCCGAGCCCCTCTCGCATGTCCTCACATACAAGTCGCCAAATTGGCGAGGTACAGAGCGATCATTACTATCGTTACTGTGCAGTTCGACAACTCCGCGAAGTCTAGTTGACCGGCCCGTGACGCCGTGACGGGATGGCAGGCCTCGCGTTGTTTAAATAGGTAGATGGCCGGGCTAGTCGCGAGGACTACGCGCAACAGCATAGCTCATGGCGCCGGCACAGCTGCAAGACAGGCTGCAGTCCAACTCCACCGACGGAGGCGAGGTGGTCGACGGCGTGGTCGGAGAGCTCACCGGGCTCCTCCATGCGATGGTGGATGATCTGAGTGAGTGGAGTGGAGGTCGCGACCGTCAGGAAGGAAGCGCCAAAGGTCGAGACACAGTCCGCCCACTGTAGAGGGCCCTATCGCCGACAGATCCTGAGAGTATATCGTGCACTTGTTGTAAACCGGGGGAAGTCGACGTTAATTTCCTAATTATGTCTCTTTAGCACAAATACCAGCCCAGTACGCCCCCTCCTCCGCCCCTTATTGCCAGACTGCATAAGCATCTTCAGTTATTGTTGTTGCAGCAAGGGTTTAAAATTTTACCGGCAAGGTGGGGGCGGTGCGGTGATTTAGCCGGTTGCACAGAATCTTCTTGGGTAGCATGGCGTTGACATAAATCGTAATTTGTTTTGCGGGTTTTTGTCGTTTTGTACACTGCAGGCGAGAACATGAATCACTTTCTCAACGAAAACTGGAAGGAGGTGACCCGTGAGGTGGGGCCGACGATCGCCGACGCCATTTCCGAGATGTTCCGCCAGATCCTGACGCAGATTTCGGACCTAGTGCCTTGGAAGTACGTGTACCCGTCGTAGAGGTTGCAGCGGCAACTGGACCGGGTCCGACCCGACACTCATCAAAGGCTGTGCTTTGTTCTGCGAAAATTTTCTTGTCTGACAAAAGATATATCAATTGGATATTTTAATTTTGTTATTTTTTGCTTACATACATCTATTGTTACCAAAAAGCAGTTTCACATTTCGCACGGTTTATCCCATGCAGTAAACTTGAACACATTGAAAAATTTATAACACGACCAGTATCGCACCACGCATAGAATACGGCTCAGAAAACATACAACATGCGTACCAGTGTCACAATGATAACGCATTTAATTTGTATCACTACTCTGCCTAGGTTTCGACTCACTTTGATATCAATGAGATATTGACTCGATATCATTTCAACAGTAATTTCGATCTTGCATTGATGATTTTGCTGTCGAACAATTCAATGATCTTTTGTCTTCCGTATGACGTATACAAGAATAGAAGAGTGAAATATTTACTAGCACAAATATGAATGAATTTTCAATTTTCCTATAAAAATATTGGTCAATAGTGGGAAAACGTCCAAGTTCTAGATCACAGTGAGCATAAGGCTAGGCCTTACTGGTTACCCGTTACCCATAGAAAGCCCTGGGGTGTAGTGAACGAAACTGTAAAGCCAGGCTCTAGATACAAAAAAGATATTCTGAAAACTGAAAACACACACTTGCAGATGTGAGAATTTCAATTCACTCGTACATGAAAAGGTGTCAATTACCTCAAGGAATGTCGCATACCCGTACCTGTAATGCGAATGCGTACAAATAAAAATTCACACGCCTACACTTGTGTGACATTTACACACCCAAAAGTGAACATCAGTCACACACTTGGGTTTCCCGTGTTTTCCTGTGTAGACTTATTTCTAAAATTACAGTTTTTTATTCTTTTATTTAATACTGTTTAAAAAAATAAGATTAGACTTATTCTACTTCGATTTACATATAACAAGCATGACTATTTAATAACTACTTAATATTGAATACTACATCGTACGGCACAGCATCACAAATGTTCTTTAGAACAAGCTTGAATACTTCTCCGATTGCGTCTGCGACACCTGGTCCGAACTCTTTGGAAACTTCTCTCCAGTTCTCATTGATGAAATTATTCATGTTTTCTCCTAAAAGAGAAAAGAGGAAAGCGATGTTTTTAAACAAGGTGGTAAAGATGGATTCAGAGTTCACAAGATGCGAGCGTGATTTTCACGCCGCTAGCGTGAAAAGAGTTAACTCTTTTGTTTTTGTTTTGGTTAGTTGTTTTGGTTAGCAGTTGACTTTATGCGACAGCCAATAACAGGTCGCCGTGGGGCTCTGCCATTATTTTCAGCTGAATCAGCTTTGGAGCTAGCGTGATTTTTCACGCTTCCGGCGTGATGTTCACGCTAGCGTCTGCTAGCAGCGTGATTTTCACGCCTCCGGCGTGATTTTCACGCAGGCGTCTGCTAGCAGCGTGATTTTCACGCAAGTTCGAAAGTGCACATTCTCGAATATCTCCCAAGTGCCCCTTCGAACTTGCGTGAAAATCACGCTGCTCGCAGACGCTTGCGTGAAAATCACGCTAGTTCCGAAGCTGATTCAGCTGAAAATAATGGCATAGCCCCACGCCGGCCTGTTATTAGCTGTTGCATAAAGTCAACTGCTAACCAAAACAACTCTTTTCACGCTAGCGGCGTGAAAATCACGCTCGCATCTTGTGAACTCTGAATCCACCTTAAGACAGCTGCCCCCTAAAAACTTAATGAAATGTTTTGTTTAGTAGTACAGGAAACAAAAATACAAAAAACAACATATTTATGATACCAGCCCTAGCGTTCCCAGCATTTGCTCTTGGAACTTACTACACTGGCGTTCAAAGACACAAAATTTTGGCGGGTAAAGACGTCATTATTTAGCGTCTTTTGCGAAAGAACGCAAAATTTTAGCGTCATTATATGCCCAGTTTTAGTGTTCCTCGAGAGAACGCGAAGTTTTGGCGTTCAAAGACGCTAATATTCGGCGCTCTTTCAGGGAACACCAAAAATTTTGTGTCAATAGACACCACTCGGTTTTTAGTGCAAGTGTAGTACAGTCGAACTGTTTAAAGTGCAATACAAGTAAGCGTAGTACGACACATCACACTTCCAAGTGTAGTACCACGCCGCTCTTTTAAGCGCGCTTTTATATAATTTGGCAGAGTTTTCACTGTGATTCACAAGAAAGTATTGCACTTATAACTGTTGGACTGGATCTCATTTGAGTTTCCAGAGTGCCTGTTCTTTAATGTGCGTACAAATACAAATGCGCACTGAAGGTATGCACTGATATCTAAAGTGTGCAACTGACACACACTTTAAAGTGTTTAACACCGTGTTGCATACTTCTATGTGTGCAACACGAGTTTTGAATAGTTGGAAGTGTTCAACAGGTGTGCTGCACACTTTTAAATGTTCAACCTGACCGTCGAGCCCTCGGTCGAGCCTATAGCTCAACGCTCAAGTTGAACACTTAAAAGTGTGCAACACACCTGTTGAACACTTCCAACTATTCAAAACTCGTGTTGCACACTAGAAGTATGCCACACGGTGTTAAACACTTTAATGTGTGAGTCAGTTGCACACTTTATATATCAGTGTGACTCATTGGAGGCGTGTATGAAAAGGGGTGCATTATGCGTAACGTTATGTGTAACCTTTAAGCGCATGTGTACCATATACAAATGTGTACTTTGTACGCTTGAGAAATGAAATGTACATGGGTATGTACACATTAAAGCATAAATGCCGCCATGTACACTTTTTTAAGTGTACAATGTACATATTTGGATTGACAGAATAGTGCAAATAATGTGCATTTACTGCAATATGCCTGCGATTATACGCTCGGCGATAATTTGGCATTATGGTGACATTTTTTCAATCATCTCTGTTCCAGAGGCGGTCACCTTGGGCATTCTTTTTTTTTTTTTTTCACTCGAACAAAGTACTTAAAAGAGTGTTTTTACATACCGAGAAGGCGATCCCCGTTGAAGAGGTTGTCGAATCTCACCGCCATGTGACCCAGGCTATTGAGGGTCATCTTGCTATTGATGATGTCGATGTACTCTCGCCCACTCGACCTCTTCTTCAAGGGCCAGTCGTATTCATAACTGATATTCATGTCCTCTGCAAAGCACGGGGCAGTAGATTAGCAGTGAAGAGGGAATTTCACATGTCCGTAGCCCGATTAACCCCATGGAGCAAAACGCACACTGCAAATCCAACGGTGTACTTCTTGCAAACTAACTTTTCCTTGCATGTACAAAGTACACTCTTTGTTTTGCAGTGCATTACATCCGTTTTGTCCACAAAAAGGTTTAAAATTTGTGATGCGTTGCTGTACGCGCATTCAATGGGCCACCAACGCTAGTGGTACGCACTGAGTGTGATGTTGGAGGGCCCCGTGCCTGTGACGGGCAGTAGGAGTACCCGCCCAGAAGCCGTGTAAGTCCCGGCGATGGTGATAGTCGGTGCGAAGAAAGTGAGCTTCGTGTGCTTGCTGGTCACATTCATGCTGGAAGAGAAAAATCTGCGGTGAGCATGTATCCCGGGGCACGACTGCCATTGGCCGGTGTGTTGGCGGGGGAATGACCGCCTCACCGGTCGCCCTCGGGACCGGCGCCCAGCCAGGTCACTGCCCTCCTCTCCCCCCTTCTCCTCCTCCTCGTCCCTCCCCCTCCTCTCACCC